TTCTCATTCCTGGGCGACAAGGGGCGTGACTGGGGGGGGGGGGAGGGAGGTCACCCCCCACCAAACCACCCCAACCCAACCCGGAGGCCCAAATGTATCCTCGATTTCCAGTGGGGGGGGGGGGGGGTCGGGGAACATTGAAAAAGCACATGGAACTCGCACCCCCCCCAACCCGAAATGCGGGTCCAATTCGAGTCTTCGGGGGTTGGGTTGGGGTGGTCTGGCAGGTAATTAGTCAGGAGGGGGGGGTGCCGGTCACGTCACGTCTCGTGTCGGCGCCGTCTGGGGATGCTCCCGGGAGCGGCCAGGGACAGCTCGGAGGTCAGCACGAGTCGTGACGTTGGCTTGGATTCGGGGGGGCGGCGACCGGGGCCGGCAACCGCCGCGAATGCGAAACATGCAAGCACGACTCCCTGCCAAGTCGATCAGCCAGTTGCCCTCTTCGGTCCTCCAGGGGCGCGGGAGCCGCCCTCCGCAGGCCTGCGCCCGCTGGATCTGGCTCCCGGTCGTTCTCGCCGAAGGGTGTTTTGCTACGCGGGGGCGCGTCTGAGCGCCTCCCCCCTCCTCCCCTCGCGCGGCCGCCCTCGTCTCCGTTCCTTGCTCTTGCGCGCCGGACAGTGCGTCTTTCGGCTGCCCCGCTTAGCCCCCCGCGCTGGTGCGGACTGCCTCTGCCTCGCCGCCGACGGAAGCTGTTTTGCTGCAAGGGCTTCCGTCCACCCCCGCGAGGAGGGCGGCCCCCGGCCCAGGAGGCCGAGGCCGCGCAGGCAGGTGGGCTGCCGCCGGCCGCTCCTGCGGGACGCGGAGGAGGAGGAGGTCTCCCCCGACCTCCGCCGCGGCGCCACCGCGCTCATGGTGGCCGCGCAGGCCGGGTCCCTCGAGGACGTCCGGGGCCTGCTGGACGAGGGCGCGGACGTGAACGCCCGCGACCCCGTGCTCAGGTGGTCGGCGCTGCACTGGGCCGCGCGGGAGCGCCACGCCGGAGTCTGCGCGGAGCTGCTCCGGAGCAACGCGGACATCGCCATCTCGGGGCTCCGTAACCTCTGGAGGGCGGAGGAGGAGGAGGAGGCGGAGGAGGAGGAGGAGGAGGAGGAGGAGGAGGAGGAGGAGGAGGAGGAGGAGATGGAGGAGAGGAGGAGGAGGAGGAGGAGGAGGAGGATAATGAGGAGGAGGAGGAGGAGGAGGAGGAGGAGGAGGAGGAGGAGGAGGAGGAGGATTATGATGATGATGATGCTGCTGCTGCTGCTGATGATGATGATGATGATGATGATGATGATGATGATGATGATGATGATGATGATGATGCTGATGATGATGATGAGGATGAGAGAGGAGGAGGAGGAGGAGGAGGAGGAGGTAATGAGGAGGAGGAGGAGGAGAGGAGGAGGAGGAGGAGAATGAGGAGGAGGAGGAGGAGGAGGAGGAGGAGGAGGAGGAGGATAATGAGGAGGAGAAGGAGGAGGGGACACTTGTGAGCCAGAGCATTTTTTTGCACGCCCGAGACAGCTGAAGCATTCTCCACGGTTCGCTCTCCTTGGGTGGATCATTCCGAGGGCTGCCCAGCAATCTCCTCCTCCTGCTCCTCCTTCTCCTCAATCCTCCTCCTCCTCCTCCTTCTCCTCCTCCTCCTCCTCCAATACCTCTCCTCGATCCTCGCTCCCTCCCCTTCCTCCTTCCTGCTGATCCTCTACCCTTCTCCTCCTCTTCCTTCTCCTCCTCCTCCAGTCCTGGTTAGGGGGCCCTGGCCATCGCAAGCGTGGACGGCAAGACGCCCGTGCAGGTCGCCGCCGAGCAGGACGCGGAGTTCGCGAAGGTGCTCGAGGCGATGGTGTGGGAGTCAGCGCCTCTGTTTCGGTACGTGCTCTGAGGATCGGCTGGGGGCCAAGGAGGAAGTGAGGGGGGGCGGACCTTGTCAGAAAGCTCCGAAGGCCTCGCCCCTGAGGAGCGTTCTGAGCCTTCTCCGAAGACGCGGAGGGTTTTTCAGAGCGCAGGAGATCTTCTAAGAAGTCCCGCCGCCTTCAGAGGGCCGCCCCCCCCTCTCACTTCCCCCCCTGGGCTCGCCGCCAAGAGGAGAAGGCCAAACCAGATTGGCACTCCCCTGCCAGTCACGCCGTCCGTCTTCGAGAGGGACCACCGGGGGGCGCCCGCAGTGCCGATCAGAAGCGGGCCTCCGCCACATGCGCCCTCGCAGCGCAGACTGCTGGGAGCCGGCGGCGTCATGCTGTGTATACATCGTTCTGCACCCGACTACACGTAAGAGTGACCTTTCGCCGGAGTGAACTTCTGGTGCGGGTCCGATGGGGTCCCCCGATCGCCGAACGCGATGCGACAGTAGCGTCTTGCGCGCTCGTTTTTGGGCCCCCCACGGCCCCCAAGAGGCCGCGCACCAGAGGTTACTCTCACCCAGGGTCACTCTTGCGCGTGGTCGATTGACGTACCTCTGGCTCCAGGAACCGTTTTCGGCCTACTCTGGGTTTCTTAATAAGCGTGGAGGGGTACCCCCCCGACGTGGGTCAACCTCGCCTCGTCGTCGCGCCGCGATGGGGGTTGGACCGCCTTCGGCGCGCGGTAGCTGCCCGCGACGGGGGTCGACGTGGGGCTGTCGGCGGGGGTGACGCCCCCCCGACGCTTCTTATGAAACTCGAGGTGCGGGGTCTCTGTCCTCCGTGTCGCCCCTTAGCTCGGGATCGGGGAGCAACCCACTCGGCGTCCAGGCTCGCCGAGGGGTCCCTCGGATCCGCACGCCCTCGCAGCGTCTGCCTTCTTCTCGCCAGCAGGCATCCCTGCGATTCGCTTGCAGCATGTGCTCGTTGGCTGCGGCTCACGCTTGCATCTCGGACTCGCGTCTGCCACTTGACCTGGAAGCGCTCAGCGAAGATATGCGGCTGCGATGTCCAGCGCCTTGCTTGCTCGCTTTGCTTACTTACGCTGTGAAGGCGTTCTTGGATTTTGCCTTCGGCCTGATTCCTCCTCTTCTTCCATTGCTTTGATCACAGATCTGGTGTTAGGTAGGTTGGGTATCATCCAGCTGCCTGCGGCAAATCCCGCCGGTGATCCACCAGGTACGCAGAATCAGTGTACTGCCCACTGATACTGGGCCGTCCTGAGGAGCATATGATGTGGAGGAGGAAAGCAGTCCCGTGGGATACCTTTTGTCATCGCTTGTTGATGACCGCTCATATCCATCTTTTGGGCAGAACGCGATATTGATAGTAATGCTGATGTTGATGAATGATAGTGGGGGTGATGAGGATGACGAGGATGATGACCAGGATGAAGATGATACTGATGATGCTGCTGATGGTGATGATGAGGATGACGATGCTACTAGTGATTCAAATGAGGATGATGAGGAGCCTGGGCTCCTGAAAGGCAGCCTAGGGGTTTGGGGGGGGCTCTCTTGGGCCGTCTTGGGACTCTCTTGGGCTGTCCTGGGGCTCTCTCGGGGCCCTCGTGGCCGTCTGGGGAGTCTCTTGGGGCCATTGCGGGGCCGTCTTGGGCCGTCCAGGGTAGGGCCACTGGGCCAGCTTGAGGCGATCGTGAGTCCATCCTGGGCTGTCCAGGAACCTTCTTGGACTGTCTTGCGGCCGTCTTGGAGGCCTTGTGGGCTATCTTGAAGCCCTCTTGGGTCGTCGTGGGGCCACCTGGAAGGGGGCCATCTTGAGCCGACGGAGGCTCACAAAGGCGAGAACGCGAACATGGTTCAAGAACCCATGGGACATTCATATGTTTGGCCTCTTCGGGCCTTGCTGGAGGCTCTCTGGGAGCCGTCTTGGGCCGTCTTTGGAGGGGGTCTTGGGCCGTCCAGGGAGCCTCTTGGTCCACGCTGGCGGCCTGGTTGGCCTGCATTGGCCGCTTGCGGAGCCATCCTGGGCGGCAGCTCCGACGCCTTGGAGAGCGCCAGGGCCGCGTCTGGGCGGCGACGGAGCCTCGGACAAAGGGGGGGGCGGTGCGCGCAGGGGGACGCGACGAGCGGAGGGGGGGGGGGGCACCCTTGGGCAGTTGCCCCCTGGGCCCTTCTGGCGCGTGTCAACTTGCCAGGGGGGGGGCACGGTGGCGGCGCTGGTGGCCTTCGCCCGTCCCGCCACTGCGCTCGCGTCGTGGACCCGGGGCCTCTGGGAGGCCTCCTGGGGCCTCTTGACGGGGTGCCCAGGGGGTCCTTGGATGCCTCTTGGGGGGCCCCTGCGGAGGCTCTCCGGGTCTCCCGCAGGGGCCTCTCGGCACGCCTCTGTGCCTCCGGGGGCGTCCTGGAGGCCGGCTGGCGATCTCGGGGGCCGTCTTGGGGGACCCCTTCGAGGTCATCCTTGTTGGCTTCTCTTGGCGTCCTTCTGGGCGCCTCCTGGGCCTCTCTTGGAGGCTCGGGGGGCCGTCCTGGCCTGATCTTTGGGAGCCTTTTCGGCCGTCTCGGGTGCTCTTGACATCCACAAGGCGACCTCGCTGAACTCATGCAATCAGTCCTAGTTTTCCGCCCGTCCTGGCCTCGTGGCCCCATGATCTCCAAGACGGCCCAAGGGGGCTCAACAGGGCCCCAGGACGGGCCCCAGGGACCACATCGTAAGGCATGCTGACTCCGAGCCACGCTGCTGAGGCTTCTGGGGGAGCCGCCCTCCCTCTCTGCCTCTCCCTCTCTCCCTCTTCATCGCTCCCTCTCTCCCTCGCTCCTCCCCTCTCCCCTTGTCTCCCTCTCTCCTCCCCCTCTCCTCTCCTCCCCTCTCCCTTTCTGCCTCTCTCCCTCTCTCCGTCTGCCCAGATTCTGGTACGCTCTCCGCCGAGGGCAGCTCACAAGTGCGCTCGCCCGGGCCCAGGGCATCGAGCGAGGAGGAAGGGCAGGGGCCCAGCCTTTGAGCTGGGGCCGTTGGGCCCCCGAGGAGGATTTGCCCTGTTCGGTCTTGTGGGCACTGGGGGGCCGGACGGCACTCCACGGGCTGCCCGCGGCACAGTGGGCGCAGGTGCCTCCGAGCTGTGCCCAGGCGCACGAGGGCCCCCTCCCGTTTTGAGGCGGCTGCCAGGGTCGCCCCACGCAGAGCCTGGCAGCTACTCTTTGACGTTGCGCAGACATTGATCGGAGATTTGGCAGTGCCTCTTCCTCCTCCTCCTCCTCCCTCCCTCCCTCCCTCCCTCCCTCCCTCCCTCTCTCCCTCCCTCCCTCCCTCCCTCCCTCCCTCCCTGCTCCTCCTCCTCCTCCTCCTGCTCCTCCCTCGTCCTCGTCCTCCTCCTCCTCCTCCTCCTCCTCCTCCTTCTCCTCCTCCCTCCTCCTCCTCCTCCTCCTCCTCCTCCTCCTCCTCCTCCTCCTCCTCCTCCTCCTCCTCGAGTGCCTGCGGATTGCCGCGCCACTGACGTGACTGCTCTCGCCGTGGAGCTCACCATGAGACACCCATGCGACCGAACGTCTGATTGACCGTTTGCCTGGCTGGACGCTGCAATTCCACTCATGCGCACGGCGATTGACGTAGCTTAGTGGCTTCGCGATTGCGTCGTCGATCTCGTCATCGCACTGCTGTGTCCGCTTCCCCTCCTCCTCAAAAACACGTCTGGTTGGCCGCGCTGCCGATTTGATTTCTTGGTCTCAGGGCATGCTCTGGAACGCCGCACTTCCATGTGGCCAGAGCTGTAGCACGTGCAGTACTGGTATTCCTGCCCCCCGTGCCAGCTCTTGTTTCGGATATCCCACCCAAAGGGGTGGTAGGATTTGAAAGAGCGTGTTCTACCGCTGCTGGCGGAAAACCGGGGGGGGTCACTACCGGTTCGAACCCCTCCCCCCCCCCCCCTCCGGAAAACCGGGGGGGGGTCACTACCGGTTCGAACCCCACCCCCCCCCCCCCCCTACTGCGAGGGCCGCGGCCCTTAGTAAGTCTTCGGGGTGTTTGCAACAGCTTGCAGGTAGCTTGCACTCGGCTTGCAAAGCGTTTACAACCTAGCAATGTTACTTGTAATCACGCGATCCTATTTCCACCCGCCCCTTATCTTTTAGCGTGTTTAGCGTCGGACGGACATCACGGTTAACCCGAGCGATCTTGGTTAAGCGTAATTCAGAGGGGGTGGATAGCTTATCTTGGGAAGTCGATTCGCGCGGTTAGCGTTCTCACTTACTTTTTAGCTTGTAAGGGGGGTAACGTAAGTTAGGGTTTGTAGGTTAGACGTGGAGTTAGCTAACCCAGCTATCCTAGTTAGGGGGTCGCACATTTCGGAGGGGACCATTCCGAATTTCGATGCAGCTGAGCCAATATTTGATTCGCGAACGGATGTTTTCTGGACTGTGTGAGTCAGGGGGTGACTAGGTGTATATCGATTATTTTCACGGTGATGGGGGGGAGAGGGATGCCACTCATCATCACGTAGCCGTTCTGTAGCCGTATGAGTTTCCTTTTTTTTGGTTGTCCAGCGAGAACTTCACGCATGGAGAAAGCACTGCAAGCTTGCGGTGACACTATTACACAGATGATCGGACAGTTTTTAGGCGGCCAGTCAAATCACAAGCACACCCAGATCACGTCAGCCCTGAGCAACCTGAAGAAGATGCTTCTGCAGCACGACCTGGCGTATGAGCTTGTCATACCAGCGAAAAGCTTGAATTGTCATTTTCAAAATCGGCACGGTATCGGAGTTGACAGCGACGCAGTGCACAAGTTACTCAACATGATTCTTTCAATTGGGTTTGATATTGAAAAGACTCGTGAATCTGTATGTTTCGAGGTCTCCAAAGACCCATCGAAGTTCAAGAAGCAAGTAGAGTTCAACAAAACACTTGCCACATCGAGCAGTGGAGGGCTTGCAGATGTGAACCCTGCAGACTGCAAGTATTTGACCGTTGCTGGCAGCCACGCGTTGCAGCTGTTGCGGTGCATCATCTTCGGCTGTACGAGCGAGAACGAACACATCACTGACCAGACGGGCAAGATAGTCCAGGACGGAGGGGCGGTAACCAGCCAACAGCGCACGCGAGCCATAGTTTCGACCCTTGGGTTGAAACCCTGGCGCGCGTACGCTGTTGCTGGTCACCCCTCCGTCTAGGAGAAGGCGTTTGCCCTCTGCGACTCTCTCAGGAAGCCCTGCACCGAGGGGTACACGTGGTTTGTGATCAGGGCCGAGGTCGAGGAGGCGTTCCCAGAGCTGCCGACGCTGTTCGTGGAGGGCGGCAACGCAGACCACGGGACGAGCACCACCCAGTCGAAGATCCAAGCACTCTTGCAAGTTCACGGCATGGGCCAGAGGAATTTGCTGAGTTGCCAAAGCTACAAGTGGAAAGAGATCGAGCAGGCGATGGAGAAGACAAAACCACATTTGCGCGGCCAAGTTGGCGACATGATCGAGTTTCTGAAAGTGTACAGCGGTGGAGACAATGCACCGTTGCTGCTAGACGTCGCTGCATATGCGAAGTGCGTCGGGGATAAGATGCGCGACGTGCATGGGACCACGTTCAAGATGCTATCACAGGTGCCGTTCCTACAGGGACCTACCTTCATTGGCGCATGCGTGAAAGCATGCATGGTGTGCCCAGCGCAGTACGCCAAGAACGGGGTTAGCAAGCTCATCAGCAGCTCCGACTTCTCCTCGCTCAGCCAGCCCGCCAGCAAGCTGAAAGCCGACGCCCTGGAGATTTGCACCGCCACGGAGGTCGCGGAGGCATGGCTATCAAAAGTACCTGGCATCGACCCTGGAGTTTCGGCCAGGCTGATCGGGGACATGCAAGTGAGATCAATCATGACGTGCCTCAAGAAAAAATCGAAACCCACGAAGAACTACGAGACACTGAATGAGGTCCACGCGCAGTTCATGGTGGATGCGCGGGCGGCGCAGCCGCAATGCATGGAGGTTAAGCCGACTCCGATCGAGGCCGAGGCCGAGGAGGACATCAACGAGCGCAAGGCCGCGTCCGCTGGCGTCGTCCAGTTCTCCAAGGGCGGCACGCTGAGCGACCGCGTGATGCAGAACAATGGCCTCGTTGTTGGTAAGAGGGTGTGGCATAAGACTGACCACAAGACGGTGCGCGTCATCCAGAACCTCGAGAGCGGCAAGGCCACGCTCGTGAGCCAGGGGTGGTGGGACGAGGACATGCGTCGGCGGAAGCAGAAGACGTCCAGCACGCCTGTGGAGAAGATGGAGCTGGTCGTGTCTTTCGGCTGCGTGGTGGACGAGTGGGAGGCTGCTTTTTTGTTGATTGATCTCTCCGCCCTCATGCTGCTATCAACTGCACGTATACGTGTAGTTGATAGCCACGTGAGGGCGGCGATGGCGGTAACGTCGGCGACAATGACGACAATCTGCGCGAGGGGGGCGGATGAAGCCTCTCGGCTACTCGTTGAAAAGCCTTTTAAAAAAAAAAACGGCTGTTCAACGAGTAGCCGACCTTAAGACGACGGCGGCGTTGGCGACGACGACGGCGACGACGACGGTGACGACGACGAGGACGACGCCGACGACGATCGGGGACGACGACGACGACGAGGGCGACGACGACGACGACGAGGACGACGGCGACGAGGAGGAGGAGGAGGAGGAGGACGACGACGACGATGAAGACGGTGACGACGACGAGGACGACGATCGTCGTCTTCGTCGTCGTCGTTCTCCCCGAGGAGAACGACGACTACGAAGAATTAAGAGCGCTCTCAGCTGGTCCCCGTCCCCGCCGAGATCATCACCAATGTGTCCAACGTGTTCAAGCAGGCATTGGATAACGACCAATGCGTGATCGAGGAGTTCAAGGCCCAGGTGCGCGTGCCTTGCCGTGCTTTGCCACTGATGATACGGATGCGGATGAGGACGGCGAGGAGGAGGATGATAAGAGGGAGGATGATGATGATGAGGAGGAGGACTGGCTGGGCTGGGCACTCGGCGGAGACCTGGTCAACGCAATCTTGGGGTCCAACGGGCTGGACTCATTCTGGGCCCAACGGAGGGCCCTGCCCGAAGGTTCCGTGCACCCCAGTCAGGTAAACCCCACGAGGGAAGGAGGGGTGACGGAGGAGGATGAGGAGGATCCCCCATGTAGTGCTTGCCCCCCCATGTGCGATGCGCGCTGAAGCACGCCTTCGTGCGCTACCGCGCCGATGTCACCGTTGCATCTACCAAGATGTCGAAGAAGGTCGTGAGCAACACTGGTTATAAGAAGGGTGAGCTCATCTTAGTCCCCTTTACCCCATTTATCTCCCACAACACGAAAGTGCCCGCAAACGCTGTCGAGGTGCCGTCGGCGCTGGAGGATATCGATACGAAGGTGTACGTGTCCCCGAAATGTGAGGCCCCGTCCCCCCAGAGCGATGAGAGCAATACATTCGTCGTTCCGTTTTGGTGCGTGGCTTCAAACCCTGACAGTGCTGCTGTGAATATGGTTCGCTCGACAGTGTCCGTGAAGATACAGGTCATCATTGGAGAGCGCTCCGCCCACTCTGAAGTGACGATCCCCACGCTGACGAACACTAGGAAGATTGCTGCGGGGAGCGAGCTATTCGTCAAGCCAGGTGCACCCACTAGCAAGGAGGCCGACGCTTCTAAGAAGCGCAGGACTTGCTGAGTCCACAGCCTGGAGGCGCAGAGTTTTGCATCGCATTGCGCAGCACGAGGATGTTTTTTTCAGGGGCACTGCGTGCTGCAGGCTCGCGGTTCGGGCGTTAGTCGGGGAGGGGTGGCGGGAGGGAAGGATGGGAACTCAAGGGGTGGAGGCGGCTTCCGCTCTGAACCATGATGGGCGCAGCAAGTAGGAGGGTGGAGTTTGCCGCCCACGCGGATCGGTTCGCTTGACCCGCCTCTCAATGTCGCTGCATCGATGCATTTGTTTGAGACAGCGGCTCTGACGAGAGGTGGCCGCATCCGACAACTGCGGATCACCGCGACGCAAGTGCAGAGCTGCGGTGCCTTCAATGTAGGCGCGATGATAAATGTAAAGAAGGCCCCAGACCCCCCAAAAGAGCCCCAAGAGGGCCCCACGACGCTCCAAAAGAGCACCAAGAAGCCCCAAGAAGGCCCTAAGAGGACCTCAGGAGAGCCCCACGAAAGAGCCGCA